TTTTATCAGTAAAAATATTACTAAAACAAAGTAGATGCATTTATCTAGAAATAGTACTAAAATTTTAATATTTTATTAAAATTTAAAGTTTTAGAACTGATTGAGTAAACATTATAAAAAATTTAACATTCTTTATGAGACCATTATTTAAATAACAGACCATAACTCAAAAAAATTTTCATACACAATGTAAAATATTTTAGTACATTCTCTATAAAATAATATAAATATCAGGTGTTGCAAGTATATTTATAACATTTTGAGTTATCAGACTCGTCATGATAGATTTCCAACAATTTAAGGTATCCGACTACGTTCGGAACTGTGATTTTGCAAAAGCGTATAAATAGATAATATTTATGATATTTAGTGTCACTTAGATTAGAAAATGTATACAAAATTGTTTTAAGAATAGTATTGCAATAAAAAATTATTGAAGTACAATATTTTGACAAAAAAAATGAACATAGAATGGTCCATTTTCAAAATAGTCTCCTTTTGTGAAAAATGCTTCTATTATAATAATATTTTGCCTGTATATAGCCCAGACCTCTGTACAGAGGCTCAACTAGAATTTTTGAAATATATAACTTAGAAGTGGGTTTATCTATGTTTTACGACAACACAGAGGGGAGAAATATTAAGAAAAAAAAACGCCGATAATTATTTTAAATGGTTGTAACTCTGAAAATAATGCGAATTTTTCAAAAATCATAGTTGAGCCTCTTTACAGAGGTCTGAGCTATACATACAAAATATTATAATAGAAGCATTTTTCACAAAAGGAGAACATTTTGAAAAAAGGTTATTCTAAGTTAATTTTTAGCCAAAATATTGTATTTAAAAAATTTTTTTTGTCAAAATGTCCTTAAAACCATTTTATACATGTATTCTAATCTAAGTGACACTAAATATCATGAAAATTATCCATTTATGCGCCTTCTTAAAATCACGGTTCCGAACTTAGTCGGATACCTTAAATGCCCATTTCTGGTAGATCAAAGACCCACTTCCTGTTTTCTAATTTTATAAAATTGATTGTAACTTGGTCTCTAGGTAGCGTAGAAACAAAACAAAGTATATTTTGTAAGCCAAAAGTTCCATTTATTCAATAAAATAAAAAACAAAAATATCTGTTTTGACCGAATTAGGTCATTCAGTTACCTTAATGGAAAACATGTTATCATCATTTGCTTCTTATCCATTAGGTTAGGATAGATCTATTAAACCATTAATGGGAATAAAATCGATTATCAGAGCACAGGCTAATGATGAGGTCAATCTTTGTCAAATTCAAGCACGCAAGGTTAAGTGAAAGACTACCGTACTCTCAGCTTCCCTCCTCCTACAAGGTTGAAAAATTTTACGGCCTCCATGAATATAAGGTTTCTCAGGTGCCTCGATTCACTAGAGAACTTTGAGAGGGCCCTTGGATAGATATATCTCACGAAAAAGCGAGATCTGTGCTGGGTGAAAAGCACAGCATTAGTTAAAGACAGGTGAGGTTTTCCATTATGAGTGATTAAACTTGTTCATGGATGGAACTTCTAGGAAGTTGAGGGCATAATCTGCTGGTGAATGGTTATTAGATCCCTCTCTGACCACAAATTTAGCCTTATTTTCATCGACGTTGATTTGCGTAAGATTCTACTAAACATGATTGACTGGTTGTTAAGGTATCCGTCTACGTTCGGAACCGTGATTTTCAAAAAGAACATAAATGGATAATTTTCATGATATTTAGTGTCACTTAGATTAGAATACATGTATAGAACGGTTTTAAGGACATTTTGACAAAAAAAATTATTTAAATACAATATTTCGGCAAAAAATTAACTTAAAATAACCTTTTTTCAAAAAAGTTCTCCTTTTGTGAAAAATGCTTCTATTATAATAATATTTTGCCTGTATAGAGCCAGACCCCTGTACAGAGGCTCAACTATGTTTTTTGAAAATTTCACATTATTTTCAGAGTTACAACCCATTGAAATAATTATCGGCGTTTTTTTTTTAAAATTCTCCCCTGTTGTCGTAAAACATGGATAAACCGACTTCTAAGTTATATATTTCAAACATTCTAGTTGAGCCTCTGTACAGTGGTCTGAGCTATAAACAGGCGAAATATTATTATATAATGGAAGCAATTTTCCCAAAAGGAGAATATTTTGAAAAGAGGGGTCATTGTATGTTCATTTTTTGTCAAAATATTGTACTTAAATAATTTTTTATTGTAATACTATTCTGAAAACAATTTTATATACATTTTCTTATCTAAGTGACACTAAATATCATAAATATTATCCATTTATACGCTTTTGGAAAATCACGGTTCCGAACGTAGTCGGATACCTTAACTAATGTCGTTTTGAAGCTACACGATAGGTATTGGCGACGGACCTCGTAATATATATATATATATAGATTTAATCTCTGAAAGAGCACTAGAAGATTTCACAAAAACTACGTTGACAGAATGGCTCCTGTCGTTTTTATTACAATCAGCAAAAATCTGAATTATGTCATATATTTTTGTTGTTATAGTTTAATTTTCATATGCGAGTAAAAAATTCAACATCGTCCATTATTACATTAGCACATGCCTTAAGCAAGGAAGTTTAAGAGATGTTATTATGAATTAAACAAAAAAGTAAAAACTAGCCATACTCATATAACGAAGGGATCGCTGCACTACAATCCGTTAAACTGCACACACAAACTAATATAATTATAATTTAAAAAGAATTTCAGTTTAATAATGTAACATAAACTGAAATTATACATATTTAAGTACATGGAATATAATATTACAATATCTTTAGATATATTAGTTTTGGAAACTCGGAATAATGAAATAAATTATTATGTTAACAAATGTATATATATGTGTGTGTGTGTGTGGAATACATACTTCCCGCCCCATTTCCCAATGGGCGGTGGGAAACATACTTCCCACAAAAAAATAGTCTTAAAATGAAATTAATTTTAGGTAATAAGCTAAATGAGTTCTTATTTCAATTCCTACACAATTAGTTCATACTTTCCCTATATATATATATATATATTGTGTCGAATCTTGTGTCAAATAGTATAAACAATTTGTATTTGGTTGTGTAATATCTTTATCTTACTTTAAATTAGATTTAATTTACGTTAAAATTGTAATATTCACAAGCAAACGCCGCCCTTACGTTGTAATGGTGAATCAATGGGAAGGCGAAATCTTGGTGATAGAGCCAAGTTGGCGACTTGGCAATCCTATTGGTGAATATTTTTGGCGAGTTCAGGTCCCTCTGGATTCTTCTTGAAATTAGTAGAGAAATCCACTAATTTCAAGATCTATGACGCAAGCGGGTCTTTTTTCAAATTATCCGCGAGGGATATAAATAAGAGAGATGCTCGCTGAAAGTCAGTCAGTCTAGTTTTGACTAGCGATTAGTTAGTGATTACTTCGGCTGTAGAATAAGTGATTGCTTGTGAATAATCTTTTATATACGTGTATTTTAGACACCGATAATTGTGTCTGAGTGTTATTGAAGGTGTGAAGACCTTCTAAGATTTATTTTGCGAATATTGCTGCTGCATTATTTAAAGGATTGGACATTCTACAATAAATTCTCTTCGCTCTTAAAGCACTGTCTTGTTCCTTGCGACTGAATGGCATAAAATCCTCAAACCCGCGATCAACGTAACAATATATATAGGGGCTGCGGTATCCAGTGGGCAAGGCATCGGATCATGGCAGGCATGTCACGAGTTCGAGCCCTGTACCACTAAAGACCCGCCGTGTAGGGCAGCGATGCACGTTAAATCTGTTGAGAGCTGAAACGTCCTCCCGTTGGTGTGGTGTGGCAGTTGAGGGAGAGGAATGGTGCCAAGCTCTGTCCTCGTCATACTTTACCATGGTTCAAAAATTAGAGGTCCATCGCCAAAAGCCATCGTGTATTAAAATTGATGTTAATATTCATTCATTCATATATAATATATATATATATATATTGTATTGTTCAAATTTTCAATCGTTAATAAAGGATTTTTTATTCATCTACTCAAGTTCAAAAACATTTTTTTAAACTTGAAGTGGATGACACTTGATGATAATACAGTTTTTTTCAAATATTAATTCGTTCTTTAAATTAAATTAATAAATACATAGTAAACAAACAAAAATATATAAACAAACAAAAACACAACAAACAAAAATAATGATCCAGCACCATTTATAAAAAGGAAAAATAGCTCGTTGTGTCCTTGTAGAGCAGGGTGGCAGACTTTTTCAGGGTACGGGCTACTTCTATTTTTTCAAGCTGTTGCGGTCCATCCAGTGCTAGTGGCTCACTCAAGGGGGAGGGGTTCACGGGTCCGGAACCTCCCATATAGTCCCTGATTTTTTCCCCTGATTAATTATAATCCCACGTAAAAAAGGAAGTAGTATTTGTTATTAGAATTTTAATTATTTATTCAGTAATTTATTTTTTGCTGTTTTTTTATTCCCGACAATCGACAATATCAAAAAAATATGTTTGGCTACGTATTGGGTATGATACGAGAATGGTAGACCTTCGACCCTCGCCCCCCATCTCGAAAAATTCTTGTGTGCGCCACTGCCCAATGTTGCAGGTGTGGTGAGGTAAGGAAAAAAAAGAGGTTATTATTATAACTTAATAATAAATACGGAATATGTACTTACCTTTTGTAACAACACTTTTAAAACAGCGTTTAAACCAAAACGCAAGATACAAGCCTAATAATAATATAGCCACAAATATAATTATATCAAATGATGCATTTATGATGAAACAATTCAAAATGCATTAAAAAATGAAACATTTTATCTAAAGTTAGTTTTCGTTGTTATAGTCAGTAGAAGACTAAGTCTGCGTACTGTCAGCCGATCTTGAATTTTCCGTATATAATTACTAACTGCTAAATTCTTCAAACGGTCACCCTCAAATGTCTTGGCGGACCACCGGTCGATCGCGATCGACGTAATGCTCACCCCAACTGTAGAGCAATGGGTCGCGCGTTGGACTTCTAATCCAAAGGTCGTGCGTTCGAATGCTACCTTAGATGGCCTAATTTCTGAGAATGTGATTTATGAATTAATGAATAGTAACAAACAAAAATAGTAGTCCAAAACCATATATAGAAAGGAAATACCTTTCTATTTTGACAATTATATTGTGATTCTGTCATATGTATATACATATTTATGGTAATTGTAATTATTTAATAAAAAGTAACTAAAATAAACCTTTTTTAACCTAAGTAGGAATTGACTTTAAAAAAATTTGTTTATATTACTTGTTATAAATCAATTTCAACCTCAAAAAATATTTTAATAAAACATTACTAGATAAAAATGACCCTATAAAAAGGTTAATTCACAACGTAATTTCGTGAGAAATAAGCAAACAGAGGAAAAAGGTAAATTCCAATTTTTTTTAAACACATAAAAAAATCACGAGTAATATGATGCATAAATATCATTCATAAAAAAACTGTGATGCGTATATTTATAACCGCATTTCTTACAAAAAAAAGTACTCAAAACCTTCTAACGATGTAAAACAAGAAGGACATCTTGTAAGCTAAATATAGAAGAAACAAAAAAAAAAAATTACTAATTACGCTGCGAATCTGATCTAATCGTGTATTTATTCAATAGAAGCACGTAACGTTTAGTATTTTTATCAGATTTATTTTTGATACATTAGAAGAACATACGTATTTGTGACGTTGATTCTCAATGTTCTTTCTTATGTCCATAATTTTTTTTTATTATTATAGCTCCTTCTGCTGGCAAAAGCTTATTCACTTTGTAACGATCGCTTTTGATACTTTGCACTGTTATAGTCACAAAGCACTTATGATTTGGTTGAAAATCAGCCTTTCGAATTTCTTTAAAAATGACTGTTCCACACGGTTTCAAACTTACAGACAATTACATTTTTTTAAAAAAATTGTTTATGATTACAGAAGTTATATTATTTACTTGAATATTCTAAATTTTTGAATGCGTTGTTTGCGTTAAAACTTTTTTCATTCACAATTCCAACTATTAGCTCACACTCTCTATATATTTATTTATCTTCGTGGAATTTTCAATCGTTAGTAAAATACATTTTAAAGAGCTCAATTGAGCTGAAATTTTATATACATGATTATTTTGGATGACAATACAGTAATTTAATTATAATTAATAAAAATTAATTTATTAAAACTAATTATTCAAAGAATTACAAATACAGTCACGTTGGCATCATTTTTGACGACTTAGCGACCCTTTTGGCGACTTGTCAAAACATGAAAAGGTTTTTTTTTCTCGCATTTTAAAGCGCTCGTTTGAGCTGTCGTTTTCTATGCACTATTGTTTGGGGTAAAAATACGATAATTTAATTATAATTAATGAAAATTAATTGACTGAAACTAATCATTTACAGATACAGCCACATTGGTTTTATTTTTAGCGACTTGGTCAAAACTTAAAAGATTTTTTTTCCTCACGTTTTAAAGCATTCAGTTGAACTGAAATTTTATATACACGATTGTTTTGGATGATACTACGATACTTTGATGATAATTAATAAAAATTAATGACCACTTATATATTTATATGTTGTGATTCTGTCATATGCATATACATATTTATATAAATTGTAACTATTTAGTAAAAAGTAGATAAAATAAAATTTCTCTTTGTTGATCTTTAAATAGGAATTGACTTAAATTTTTTTTATATTACTTGTTAATTGATACATTGAATTACTTTCGCAGAAGGTCCATAAAGTTATATTCCAAAGGTTTCTGTTTGTATAAAAGATTTTGAGAGTCTTTATCAGCAACAGTTTATGTTTGCACAAAAAGAGGATGATTCAATAACTTCGCTACGGAATACAGTTACTTTAAAATTTGAATTTATTTATATAGCATGTCTGAATATTCTATCATTTCTATCAATAATAAGTACTTTTCCGTTAGCTGGAGACCAGCATATTTGACCCTTGTATAGACTATTATTTTTATTATATCCAATAAAACATTTCATTAATTTATTAATTATTAATAAAACATTATATATTAATAAAATATTACTGTAAAGTAATTTATTATACTTTTATAAACTTTTAACCTTGGCAATATCCAGCTGAGGAAAAGTACCAATATAAATTTATTCACTTCGATTAAGCAATGAAATAATCCCATTGATACAAACAATTTAAACTACGTGATATTTAACCTAGTTTAAATTGAACTTATTGGTATGATATTTAACGAAAAGGGTTTACGGGGATATAAAAGATAAATATACTTCAGTCTTAGAAAACGAAATCCTCTCCTTTCTACATCAAAAGACGAGGCCAATAAGAATTTTTTAATTCTATCAAAAGCGTAATGCTAGGATTTAGATATCAACAACTTAAAAAAGAAACAATATACATCCGATCCCTTTAATATTATAGATTTTTTGGCGGTCAACAACATTCTGGGGCTGATCTGATATTGTCAGATCTTTCGAGGATAAGAAACAATAACAGCAAAACAATATATATAGTCATCCAACATCAAAAAATATGCAGCAAAGCGGTTGGATAACGGCTTATACTTTTATTATGTGTGTGTGTGCCTATGTATATAAGTGTGAGTGTGTGTGTGTGTATTTTATACAAATGCATATTCGGAATTTATTTTAATCATATAAAAAAATTTCATAAGACATTCGACTTTCTGGCAATGTTGCATGTTCCACAAACATACAGGGTGATCGAAAAGTATGGCCATACTTTCAAAGATGAATTAAAAATAAACAAAGTTCTTCCTTTTCGATATTTTAAGTTCAAAAAAGAAATTAGAATCTGCAAATGAAATGCAAACGAGATGATGCAACGTCCACGTTTAGCAAAGTTCTCGTTTCAAAATGGCTTCACTGTAAGGACAAGCGCAAGTTGTAGTATGGTTTATCGAACTAAAATTAGAAATACGTGTACAGCGTAAATTTCGGACTACCTTTAAACGGAGTCCTCTTTCAAGATCTACAATTTATAAGCGGCATGAAAAACTTATGGTGATAGGTAGCGTACTGTCAAAAGCAAAATCTGATAGCTCTAACAGAAGTTGAGATGATGTTACTCGTACAGACTCGGTGCATTGTGAACATCTAATGGTGCGCACATTGAAATCGGCAATGAGCCACTCTTAAAAAACTTTGGTATTTTTTATGAACATAAAAAACTGTAAAAGAATACCATTGTTTGTTTATCTGTAATAAAAATTTTAAAGTGTAGCTAAACTTTTCGGACACCCTGTACTATAGAATCCGTAAGTTAAATCCAACTCACCTAATAAGAAACTGATTATACTTTTTTCATTGAATAAGGGTGGGTATTGTTTTGGAAATACTATAAGCAGAACACGTTAAATCAGCAGTTCTTAAACTTTCGATCGCCGCGACCTCCCTTAATATTATCAGCCTGACATCACGAATCCCCAAAATTTTGAACATCCCTCTCAACTCTTGTGGTGGTGATATCTATGTAAACCAGTAATAGCCTCCATGCTATGACAACCTTGGCATGGTGGCTAAGAATAAAAGATTTTCGGATTGGAAGGTGCCCAGTTCTAATCTTACTTCATTGGTGACTCTGGACGTTCAAAGAGAATCGCAGCAGTCGTAGTGCCATCTATCCACCGCAAATGCAACCAAGCCGTCAGATACATGACTCAACCCACAAGCCGTTACACACGATGACGCAACCCACAAGCCATCCCACACGATAACGCAACCCATAAAGCCATCGTACTCAAAGTGACGCAACTGCTCACACTCTCACCACGAATATGGCAATCGTTCGTTCACCTATTCACCAAATCACTGGCAGGGGAGTAGTGTGGCGGGGATACCTATATAAACCAGTAATAGCCTCCGTGCTATGACGATCGTTTTGGCATGGTGGGTAAGATACTCGTTTTCGGATCGGAAGGTACCCATTTCTAATCTTCTTTCACTCTCAACATATGGATGAGTCATTTAAAGGTTCCTCAATAGTCCTGAGACCGCCTCTGCAATTCATACATACTTTTACCAACACATCTTTTTTTCCCTTTAAGAAAACAGCAAACACCTTATTATTTATGTATACAAAAATATTACAAAATACTTGTTTGAAATAAATAAACAATGTAGGCGCAAATAAATAAATAAATAATATAGGCGCAACTCAGTTAGGAAATCCAGATGGATGCAATCGTTGTCGTATTGACGACTATGCGAATTCAGTTCTTAATCTTTGCCCATGTGTTTCTATTATATATTTTTTGGAAATATTACGTTTTATTTATGGCTATGCAGTTGCAAACAATAAGAAATCTGAATTAATATTCTTGATCGAAATACATGTTCTAGTAAATATTTTTATTGGGGACAATTTAGTGGTATTGTCTAAAATGACATATCTTTCAATTTTTTCATAAGGTCTTTCAGAGTCTGTTAAGAACTAAATCTTAACCAATAGGGTAACGCAGTGATCCGCAACCCTCGGTCAGCGGACCGGTACCAGTCCGTGGATCAAATGGTACCGGGCCGCCTAAAGAAAATTAAACTATTGCCATTTTATTTAAAGTGGTGCATTTCTCTCTGATTTGCGCAACTTTCCACGGAAATCACTTTATATTCCAAGTTAAATCACTTTTATTCATTTTTGGTGTAACTATATTTTATTCTGAAGGTATATTTATAAATGTAACTAAATTAAAATTATTAAATCAAAACAATCTGAAATATAAACAATCAACATGTCCCACTCTCAGCGGGCCGCGGTAAAAGGATCAAACGTTGACCGGTCCGCAGCGATAAAAAGGTTGCGGAGGGTACACCTCCGCATCGCGGAAGGGTAGAATTCTAGGGGCCCAAAGCCTGATTGACACCAAGTACGTTGTTGTTGTCGTGCCTTCCCATAGGGAAGGAATGAAAGTTGCAACAAAGCCTGAGACAGGTTGGACTTCTACACGATAGATAGCGACACTACCTATCTCCATCTCCATAATTTAAGCATGGAAGGGAAATATTCTCCAGC